TTTGTAGGCTGTCGACCATGTCTGGTCGGGTGTATCGGTGTTTGTAGGCTGTCAGCCATGTCTGGTTGGGTGTATCAGTGTTTGTAGGCTGTCGACCATGTCTGGTTGGGGGTATCGGTGTTTGTAGGCTGTCGACCACGTCTGGTTGGGTGTATCGGTGTTTGGAGGCGGTCGACCATGTCTGGTTGGGTGTATTGGTGTTTGTAGGCTGTCGACCATGTCTGGTTGGGTGTATCAGTGTTTGTAGGCTGTCAGCCATGTCTGGTTGGGTGTATCGGTGTTTGTAGGCTGTCGACCACGTCTGGTTGGGTGTATCGGTGTTAGTAGGCTGTCGACCACGTCTGGTTGGGTGTATCAGTGTTAGTAGGCTGTCGACCACGTCTGGTTGGGTGTGTCAGTGTTAGTAGGCTGCCGGCCATGTCTGGTTGGATGTATCGGTGATTGTGGGCTGTCAACCATGTCTGGTTGGATGTATCGGTGTTTGTGGGCTGTCAGCCATGTCTGGTTGGGTGTATCGGTGTAAGTAGGCTGTCGACCATGTCTGGTTGGGTGTGTTAGTAGGCTGCCGACTATGTCTGGTTGGGTGTATAGGTGTTTGTAGGCTGTCGACCATGTCTGGTTGGGTGTGTCAGTGTTTGTAGGCGGTCGACCATGTCTGGTTGGGTGTATCGTGTTTGTAGGCGGTCAACCATGTCTGGTTGGGTGTATCAGTGTTTGTAGGCTGTCAGCCACGTCTGGTTGGGTGTATCAGTGTTAGTAGGCTGTCGACCACGTCTGGTTGGGTGTATCAGTGTTTGTAGGCTGTCGACCATATCTGGTTGGGTGTATCGGTGTTTGTAGGCTGTCGACCATGTCTGGTAGGGTGTATCAGTGTTTGTAAGCTGTCGACCATATCTGGTTGGGTGTATCGGTGTTTGTAGGCTGTCGACCATATCTGGTTGGATGTATCGGTGTTTGTAGGCTGTCAGCCATGTCTGGTTGGGTGTATTGGTGTTTGTAAGCTGCAGACCATATCTGGTTGGGTGTATCAGTGTTTGTAGGCTGTCGACCACGTCTGGTTGGGTGTATCAGTGTTTGTAGGCTGTCGACCATATCTGGTTGTGTGTATCAGTGTTTGTAGGCGGTCAACCATATCTGGTTTGGTGTATCAGTGTTTGTAGGCTGTCGACCATGTCTGGTAGGGTGTATCAGTGTTTTGTAGGCTGTCGACCAAGTCTGGTTGGGTGTATCAGTGTTTGTAAGCTGTCGACCATGTCTGGTTGGGTGTATCAGCGTTTGTAGGCGGTCGACCATGTCTGGTTGGGTGTATCGTGTTTGTAGGCGGTCGACCATGTATGGTTGGGTGTATCAGTGTTTGTAGGCTGTCGACCACGTCTGGTTGGGTGTATCGGTGTTTGTAGGCTTTCGGCCATGTCTGGTTGGGTGTATCAGTGTTTGTAGGCGGTCAGCCATGTCTGGTTGGGTGTATCAGTGTTAGTGGGCTGTCGACCATGTCTGGTTGGGTGTATCGGTGTTTGTGGGCTGTCGACCATGTCTGGTTGGGTGTATCAGTGTTAGTAGGCTGTCGACCATGTCTGGTTGGGTGTATCAGTGTTTGTAGGCTGTCGACCATGTCTGGTTGGGTGTATCAGCGTTTGTTTGTAGGCGGTCGACCATGTCTGGTTGGGTGTATCAGCGTTTGTTTGTAGGCGGTCGACCATGTCTGGTTGGGTGTATCGGTGTTTGTAGGCTGTCGACCACGTCTGGTTGGGTGTATCAGTGTTGTAGGCGGTCGACCATGTCTGGCAGTAAGATGATATATCACGCTTACTAAATAGGATTTTGACAATTTTGTGGTGGGGTTTTACAAAATTTCAGAAATTTAATCATACTGAAATTTTACCTGAAAAAGACAAAGGTGAAGAATGCAGTGTTGATGTCACCATCAGGACAGTATTAACGTCACCTTCTTACACTTTTGTCTTGGTGAAAAATGAATCCCTCAGATTGACAGCCAAAATGTCTCTGGTAGATTTTACAGGTATTCAAATGATTTTATTAGGTTTGGTGTTGGTAGGTTACTTGGAGATCTGAACTATTTTAATACTTTTTTGTAGGGTTTAATTTTTACTTTGTTGTGAAACTTTAGAAATCTATTTAAACAAGTATGTTTTTAACTTTGGGACACACAGGTGTGCATGTTATTGTTTACAGGTGGTAGGTAAAGAAATACATTACTTAATAAACTAACAATTAACATTGGTAAGTATCGCGGTATATTGTTATACGAAGAATAACCACTTCATTAGCGTTGATGATTTTTGACTTAAGATCAGATTGTCTGACTGTTGTGTATATAGCAGTGACTTGTAAAGGTGTTTAAAGTGGGAGATAGCAAGGTTATCTGGATGGTAACACTATTGTACAGGCGGTAAGTTAATGCAGTGTAAAAAACTTCAAAGGGTGAGAAATCCGGAGTATCTGTATAGCTCTGATCTAATCACCCGTCTAACAATCTTCCGTTTATGCGCCTGTTGGTTGTCATTCTAATGGCAACACAGCACTATATAATGGTAACACAGCACTATTTAATGGTAACAGCACTATCTGGGGACAGACTTCACTGTTGTCTATCTAATGGTAACACAGCACTATCTAATGGTAACACAGCACTATCTAATGGTAACACAGCACTATCTAATGGCAACACAGCACTATANCTAATGGTAACACAGCACTATCTGGGGACAGACTTCACTGTTGTTATTATAATGGTAACACAGCAATATCTAATGATAACACAGCACTATCTAATAGTAACACAGCCCTATATAATAGTAACACAGCACTATCTAGGGACAGACTTCACTGTTGTCATTATAATGGTAACACAGCACTATCTAATAGTAACACAGCACTATATAATAGTAACACAGCACTATCTGGGGACAGACTTCACTGTTCTAATGACAAGTAAGCTTTAGTATCTCCGTCTTTATCTATCACCAAACTTGTTAAAAATACTGCAGGCCCAATATGCCTTTTGTCACACTCGCAATGTGGATGATATGGATTATGAATAAAATTCAAAGATATTATTCTACAGGCCCTATAATCCTTTTGTCTTTCAGCGCATGAATTGGCGTTAATTTTGTATATAATATTAGTTCATAATAATCCTATAGCCCCACCAATTTGCCTTTTTCTTTGTCAAAACTTGGAATTATGCTTATTTTCAGAGTAATAATAATATAAAATATTTTTTTAATTTCTACAGGCCTACTATGTCTTTTTGTATCTATAAATAAATTGAATGACACTCATTCAAATAAATTATAGTAACATAGAATAGTTCATAAGGCTGGTATGCTGTGTTGGGAAATTTGTTGAATAACAAAGATTGTAACAAACTATATCCTACAGGTCCTGTTTGCCTTTTGTGCCTGTCAACACGTGGGATGACATAAATTGTAATGGCAGCCATGTTAGATGGATTTCCACACCAATCTGTCATGTCTGTCCATCGCCAAGAAACATGAAAAGATTAGATATTGAACATCTGACGATGGCCCCTTGCAGTAGAAGGCTGTTATGATGCCAGCTAGGGAGGCAAGAGATTTGTTTAAGATTATTGGCTAATTGTCGTGGCACTATCATTAGCTGTGAGTGAGCCTCTAGCCTATTGATCCGTGGCCTCCACGCTGTGGCTGGTTAGCTTGGGCCTGGATCGGAGGTGTTCAGTCTCTCCATCTGGCAAAGACCTGTCTTGTGGCCCTTCAGGGGAGATAACTTCATGTTTGGGTTCATCAGGGGAAACAACTGTGTAGCTGGTTTTGGTGTTTTATGGTAGGTTGGCTACAGTGTAAAGGTTCTGTTGTGAAGCTGACCGGTGTGACAATGTGTTGGTGTCTGGGTGACTACAGTAACTTGTAACAGTTCCTTCTCCCCCGGGTCAATTACCCACACAGCTTCATAACGGTGTCGCCAACAATACGCACCGTCATTGTGTGGCAAATTTTTCAATTTTTATCGCTGATTGTTTCTTGAGGAGTTTGGCGCTGTCGCCGCGCTAGGTGACCGGTACGTCAGGCTTTTGCGGCAAGATGTATGATTTCGTCTTCGATTAGCTGTCAGTAGCGATGCCCGTCGGGAAAGAGAGATGCAGTGACGATTTTGCGTCTCGGCACTAAATGGCCTGGCAGTAATAGTTTTATGGTAACATTATGGAATGGCGCCGACGATAGTGACCTACCAACATCTATCTTATATATAGATTTGGTATCACATTTTTAGGTGGTCTCTCAAGACAAAGATACCGACTGTCCTATCTCATTAATATTAGGTTGTATGTATAATCCTACCAAAAAATACATGTGGCATTCATATCAGATATGAATGTCACGACTCTAAACGTCATCATGATTTTGTCGTCATAGTCATAACGTTAGTAACGAGTGGCTGCTACAGAGTCATCACACATTACCATAAATGCAGGAATCATTCGTGGGTGGGGAAGAGTAGTTAATAAAGAAAAAAGAAGGACCTATCAATTTTAATAAGCCATTTTTCTATCGCCTTATTATGGAAAATCTTGTAAAAATACTATTTGCTTGTATTTTCCCAAATAACGTCCATCATTTTTCTGACCAGAAAAGGTCAAAGGTCCCTGGTACAAGTGTTTAATTTATTGAAATGATCGTCATTGTTAATGAAATAGTACTAATTTGGCTGGAAACTGGAAAAACATTGAAGCTTTATCAAATTATTAATTCCCTGTTAACATTTTTATTGACTGATGTGATTAGTATTGAGAATAAATGCAAGTAGAAAATCTGTAGAAGTTTAAATAAAAAGACCTTTTTGCACTACATGCTAGTTGTTTTGGTGTTAAAGAACAGTTAAATGAAAATAAAAGTTCAATAAAATCATCTACATCATCTACATCATTGAAATTTATTTTCAATGACTTTATTGGTACAGCTTGATTAAGTCTCAAAGTCAGTGTTTTCTATGTTTTTCAGAGATGGATGAAGGAACATGGTCCTCGACAAATCCCCCAGGCGGCTCGTTTGAAAATAGAGTACCGGTAAGTAGAATTTGTATGTTAGGACAATAGAGTACCGGTAAGTAGACTTAGTATGTTAGGACATTAGAGTACCGGAAAGTAGAATTTGTATGTTAGGACAATAGAGTACCGGTAGGTAGAATTTGTATGTTAGGACATTAGAGTACCGGTAAGTAGAATTTGTATATTAGGACGTTAGAGTACCGGTAAGTAGAATTTGTATGTAAGGACAATAGAGTACCAGTAAGTAGAATTTGTATGTTAGGACATTAGAGTACCGGAAAGTAGAATTTGTATGTTAGGACAATAGAGTACCGGTAAGTAGAATTTGTATATTAGGACGTTAGAGTACTGGTAAGTAGAATTTGTATGTTAGGACAAAAGAGTACCGGTAAGTAGAATTTGTATGTAAGGACATTACAGTACCGGTAAGTAGAATTTGTCTGTTAGGACAATAGAGTACTGGTAAGTAGAATTTGTATGTTAGGACATAAGAGTACCGGTAAGTAGAATTTGTATGTTAGGACAATAGAGTACCGGTAAATAGAATTTATATGTTAGGTCTGATTATACAAAGCTCTCTGAACAACTCACAGGAAACATTTTTTTTTTCAAAGTTTGTAGATTCAATATTTTAGATCAAAGCAAACAGTATTAATTTAACCCCTTAAATTTCATAATGAACTATTCCAACCTTTTAATAGGAAGAGTTCTAATGTGTTTTCAGCGGTGACTGAGTTAATGTATATGTTATTGATTTCTTACAAAAAAAATATATGTGATCAAGGGAGGTAACCCTGGTATTCTTTTCTTGTTCCAGATGTTTGAAGGTCAAAGCTTTAATGGTCAACAGCAAAATGAAAATGTGAACATGGGTTACCAAGACGTGAACGCTTTACTGAGTAAGTATAGAGTCTCTCCTTGAACATGAGTTACCCCAACGTGAACGCTTGACTGAGTAAATATAGAGTCTCTCTGTAAACATGAGTTACCCCGATGTGAACGCTTTACTGAGTAAATATAGAGTTTCTCTGTAAACATGAGTTACCCCGACGTGAACGCTTAACTGAGTAAATATAGAGTCTCCCTGTAAACATGAGTTACCCCGACGTGAACGCTTTACTGAATAAGTAGAGGGTCTCTTTTTGTCAGTCAACAGGAAAACTGTCCTCGAGGAGATCTATTATTTCAAAAACAGTAAATAGTTACTGAAGTATGTGTATAGTTTGTTTGATTGATTTTAACAGCCCATCAACAACTGTGTCATTTAGGGCCAGAATAATCTTTAGTATGGTGCAACCATTTCGAGAATCAAAATTAAAATAATTGAAATGATTTGATATATGTTATAAAATCAGCAGCAGGATAGGCTTAGAGAAATAGTGCAAGAATATGTTGAGTTATTTGTACACTTAACGGCAGAAAATAAATATATTAATACAGTATATTATATAAAATATTATTGATTTAACATAAATTAAGGAAATTTTGATAAAAGATATATCTTTTTGTAAAATACATCTGTTACAATGAGAGATAAACACTCCTGATAATATTGCTAGCATTTATAATTGAAGTTACGTATCCTGTATTAGTTATGTTATATTTGTGTCATGTGATCAAATACAAGATTACACTGTGTTGATATATGGTTTAAACTCATTCACCCCTGAAGCCACATTTGAACTCTTCCAATTCAAAGGTTGGAATAGTTCATTATGAAACTTCAGGGGTGAATGAGCTGTGTAATAACTAAAAATGTAAGCTGTTGAGATAAACCCACATCTCCTTCCTACAATGATAAATTGTAAAAATCCTGTGATGGAAAAATGTTGATTATATCATTCTCATCAATATTTTCTTTGTTACAGACAAAGAACCTGAGATACCCTACAGACCTGGAATGAACTCATCACAGGTAAGCCTGCATTGACCTTTGGACCTACATTATTGTTGAACTTTGACCTATGCTGATATTGACCTCTTCTCTTAAAGAGAGTAGCTCAACCTGTGCACTCCTAAAGTCACATTTGAACCTTACCAAATAAAAGTGGGCAAGTCCAGTTTAAATATGTAGGGGTGAATGAGTTAAAATTACACAGTTAATTACTCCTGTAGAGGTCAATATGTTGAATCATAGACCTGAAACTAGCTACTTAGGTGGCCTTATCTGACCTTGACTTGGAGAGAAATGTAGTGGGGTGATGGCCTTTATTTCTCTGTGTTGTTTAAACCTCCTCTATACCAAAGTCTCAGAGCATCAACACGATTTTCAGTAACAACGTTGCATTGTCCTGGCAAGATGTAATCAAACAGCCAAATGAAGTTATTTCAGATGCGTAATAATGTTGAGTCTAGTTTTGGAATTCCTGGTCAAACTATCAGATTCATAGATATTTATGATTACAAGATAATGTGTCTCCCACCATGTTTCAGGTCAGGCAACACTGTGTATAATGAGGGTCAATCATTTGACTGTATATGGCTGAAATGAAACAGGAATATCTCACTGGAGCTACAATAAAAGTCTTCAGACTTAAACTTACATTGACCTCAAGTCATATCGACCCATAGTTAACACCTAACTGCAACATAACATAGAATTTACCTGTCGTAATATTGACCTTTTCCCTAACATTAGTCTTTGACCTATTGCACTAACAAAATAATTTACATATCAATCGCAATATTGACCTCTGACCTCTAACATTGTTGAAATGTTCTTTCGACCAACAGTGATGTTGACCTCCATCTAAGCTGACATGATTGACCTATGACATTAACAAACTTTGACCTCTTACCTACAGTAACATTGACATTACATTGACAATTTCTCTACATTCACTGGAATAACTGATTTCATACAGGTTCAACTTCATTCACAAATATTTCACGAATTTTTCCTTGAAAGTAACTGATTTAAAAACTAATAAATTGCGCAATACATATCTTGCATATTTATCTTACCCCCAAAAGAGCCTCATTACTACTAATAAATTGCCAATGAATATCTTGCATATTTATCCTACCCCCAAAAGAGCCTCACAAACAGCTTCACTAACCAGTGTGTGTTTGGTAGTTTTTAGAAGGGATTTATTCTGTACCAAAACACTCATTTATGACAACAAATTCATTTCTACAACAGAAATCATTTCAACCCTTTCAATGACAATGAAACATTCCATGAACCTTTTCTGGCCATTGCTTGGCTTTTTCTATTTAACAAGAAATGGTTGACTAGGATAAGTCTGGGCTCAGGTGCAAGACACACGAGCTCCTTGTTATCAGCTCAATCTTCTACAGGCGTCACATAGAAAGTCTTCATATTCATACTCTTCACAGGGATTTCCTGTCTTTTCTCTCCACTGTCTGGACATTACTGTACAGTAAAGCTGACCAGTCATTGTCTGGACATTACTGTACATTAAAGCTGACCAGTCACTGTCTGGACATTACTGTACAGTAAAGCTGACCAGTCATTGTCTGGACATTACTGTACAGTAAAGCTGACCAGTCACTGTCTGGACATTACTGTACAGTAAAGCTGACCAGTCATTGTCTGGACATTACTGTACAGTAAAGCTGACCAGTCACTGTCTGGACATTACTGTACAGTAAAGCTGACCAGTCATTGTCTGGACATTACTGTACAGTAAAGCTGACCAGTCACTGTCTGGACATTACTGTACAGTAAAGCTGACCAGTCATTGTCTG